TTGTGTTGTTTTGTTGCTTAAACTGTAAATGCAACACTCCCTTCTTGCTTTACTGGAGGGGTAATAAAAAACCAACAAACAAACCACAAAACAAATTATTCCAATTTATTACGGCCATGGAAACCTACAATTCAGCTCAAACGCCCCCACAGGTCAGCTTAGACCATGTCAATAGTTCATGACAACTGCATTACTGGCTCCTTTGTGGCTTTGCTCCCCTTTCTTACCTCCAAACATGGCTTGCTAGAGGAGGAAAAGGTTGGTTTAACACATCTGCTGTGTCTAGTGTTTGCGTCCCAACATGTTCCCCCACGAATGAGGTTACGTTTTCACTACACTTGTGCTCAGTGCAATCAGGACAGTGCAACCCACCCCTGTTGTAGACATCCAACATGGAGATTCAGCAGGGTTGACCTGAAGTTGCACGCTCCTCTTGGAAATCATCATGGACCTGCATGGGTCCAGGGGCCTGATTCAGATCATTTCTGCTGCCCCTTGTTAACACTAGTTTAATTAAAGTCAGCCCCTTAGTTACCTGGTTGGACAACTTACGCACCCTGGAAGATCTTATGAACATTAGCTCCTTATTCGCCCCAAAGCTTGAGTCCACTGCCAAGCTGTTATTAATGTCAGCGTAAGTAGGACTGGGCTTTTTATGCATGAGACACAGTGCAAGGAAGAGAAATACTTGGATCCTTGCAATAAACCCCTAGGAGAAGGTTTCAGACTGGATATAAGAAAAAAAGTCTTAACGGTTCATGTGACCAGACTCTGGAATAGACTCCCAGTGGGGGTGGCGCAGGCACCTATCCTGGACAGCTTCAAAAGACTGGACACACACCTTGCTGGGGTTATTTGACCCCAGCAGTCTTTCCTGCCCAGACCAGGGGGCTGGACCCCATGATCTCACAAGGTCCCTTCTAGCTCTAAACTTCTGTGAGTCTGTGAATCCTGCATCCCTGACTTGGGCAACTAACCACTTAGGCTCCTTAGGCTAGGGCCTGACCATCTGCTGACCTGCTTTGCATCTGGCTTTGTAACCCTTACAATGAATAATATGTCCTTACAGTTACTCTGTGAAATCAATGGATCCAGTGCAGTTATCTGATCCATTGGGGTAAAATCCTAAGTTGCTCACTGCACGTTTCTGTTTCCCTTTGCAGCAAGTTCATTATGTACATGCGATCTGTTGAAAATTAACCAGTAGACCTCTTTAGAGAGGGCATCTACCTGCATCTACATGCAGGCACGTATAGGCTTGGGATGAAATGATTTCCTTGGTCACTTTAAATGCTCAGGACAGTCTTGGCTGTACTGGATTTTCTGATGAGTTTCATTTGGTTTCAACAACCTGATTTCATCAGGCTGCTGGCCAAACAGGATGCCTTGGGAGAAAGGAGTAGGAGCTGAGGGCTGTAAAACCCTTCACACCTACTGCTGTGGAAGGTATGAGGCCTGATTGCTCAGAACAGTTCTGTAGCTTGTCGCTGTCGGGTTGTAGTTCGAATTCACCCCGGGTGAGAAGTGGCAAGCTGACGGTGGAAACCAACAGGTGATTACTGTTGCTCTTAGTCCTGGATGTCTTGCACAGATGAGTGTCCACATCCTCAAGCAAACCACAGGGATTAAACTAACCTGCTTCTTGCCTGTGGGTCTGCAGAACGCCCAAAAGCTGAATACCCTTGGAGATGGCATGGGGAGGCTGTACTCCTAGTGCACAGTGCACTGAACAGGGACTTGGATGTGGGCTCTCTTCTAGGCTCTCCCACCAACCTGCTGGCTGGCCTTGGACACATTGCTTCATTGCTCCATGCCTCAGTCTCCCCATTCTGTAAAATGGGACAAGTCATAACTGGGACTTCTTTCAGAAAGGGTTTTGCGATCTACCAAGGAAAGACACTCTGTCAGAACTGGGCACACTTGCTTCTCAGTACATTGATGGGGTGGGGAAGTTTGCATTGCCCTGCTCCTGCTGCTGATAAATTGCCCTGCAAGGCTGAACTCCTCTGACAATGCAGCACCTTTCACCAGGCAGTAAATTCACTTTAAAAAAATCCATTATCCAGCAAATTGCATATTCCAAAGGGGGAGTTCATAATCCACTTCAATGGCACTGAGTGGCAGAGGCCATTAGCATGACAATAAATGGCTTTTTGGTGAGACAGCAATATAATTCACTCAGCCTTTAATGCTGGGCAGGGGGCTCTGCTCTTTACATAAAATACATAGTGCAAAACACCTCCCTGTACATCGCTCTGTGATAAAGGGGCTGTTGCAATGAGGATAATTACGAGGAGGCAGACACGCACTGAGACCACTGCACTGCAGCAGGGACTCATGGCGCTCTGGGTTGCACTGTCAACAATGTGCTCAAGGGGCCCATAAACCTGTGTATTTTGGCGGGGGGAAGAAAATGAGTCGTTTGCCCACCCCCCCCACAGCAGCAGGGAACTGCTTCTATTGAGACAGAGCTTTGCTGATGTGAGGCAGCTGCTGCAGCTGGTTTTCACTGCCTGCAAGCTATTGTTGATTCCTCCCTCTGTGCCTGTAGTTTGCCGAGCGCCCAGCACATCGCCGGCCCTTCCTGAAACTCATGACGCTGCTCAGAATGACATGCTATTCAACAGCATCGCACAAAAACGCAGGGGAATATTTAATTGATAGCTCCCCAGATTAACCTCTCGGAATCTAATAAAGATGGAACTCAACCGGGCGGCTTGATGGCCTTGCAACAGTAATTACTGTTAAAAATCTAGCACATCATCTAGCACTTCATCTCCTAAATTAGCATGCTGGCTATTTTTGAGTTGGTAATTGGATTGGTGAATTACCATTGCCCTGGTAACTCTTGCTACTGATTTGTTTTCCATTCATCTCTGCTAAAATTAAAATGGAACAAAAACCTTCTACCTTACGTGAAAAGAGACCATGCTGAACTGACGAGGTCCAAGCAAATCTTTTCTATCACAATTTGCTTTGTTTGTAATGAAGGACATGATTTTGCTGCCACTGAAGGGGATGGGAATGTTGCCTGTTAAGGGGCAGGGTTTTGTTGCTGAAAAAGTGCTTTTCATAAATGCAGTTTCCTATTTCCTTGTAAGCCCCTACTTGTTCTTCAGCATAGGGAAAGGGCTCAATCAAAAGGCAAAGTCTACGTAGCATCCGCCAGTGAATAGACTTCCGACACTCCACATGCGATTAAACAGAACAGCATCTAGCCGTTCAATGAAGGACAAGTAGGTCATATGCTGTCTCTATTTCCCTGCCCTGTGAGCTGAGCTATGGGCAGACCTTTAAAATGGCTTTTAATCTGCATCTGAACAGGAGCTGGGGGCGGCGGTGGGAGGTCCTTGTGACAGACTTTGTTGATGCTGATGGGAGCTGCATCTAGGGAGATGTTTGTCTCCTGCTGTAAATCAACTGACTTCCGTGCCACATTTGTCCACATCCTTCCCAGTGTCATCGGCCTCCAACTGTGATGGGTAGAAAAGCAGTGTCTCACATTTTAACATCTCTGAAGGGCTGGCAGACAGTAGAAATGCTTTCCATTTTTAATACTCTGGCCCCTGCCAGTGTTTCTCCATATCCCTTCCTCAGCCAATCCCACTTGCAGCACTTTCAGGAACATCTTGCAAAGGCTACTCTAACTCATGCTAGCTTGCAGCAGCTGCCAGGAAGCAGAAGGAAGTCTTCATCTCTCTTCTACTGGTAGAGAGGATGTGGCTGCAGAAGAGATAGGGAGGAAATGCTATGCCTTTCTTGCACCTCTGAGGTTGTCTAAAGTAGGGTCCTCTGTTCTGCGGCCAGGTAGGCAGGCTTGCGGGCTGTCATGTGCTGATAGCACCATGCAACATGGATCCAGACTCTGGAACAAGACCTCTGTCAGTGTAGCTAGCAGTTAAAAAACCCACTCTCCCTTGTCTCTTAGAACTAGGCTTCAAAGGACCTAGCATACAGGCAGGTTCTGCCTCAAACTGACTGCAACAAACTCCTTGAAGAAATTGCTTATGGTGGTCAGATGTCCCTTGGCACAGATCACATGAGCGTTTGAAGACTCTTTTCCCCACCTTTGAAGAGCCCAGGAGCAGGAACCTTTTCAGCCCACATCTCTGAGCATCTTCCACTTTAAATCCTTCCCCAAGAATAACGTAAAGTATTTCTAGAACATCCACTACCCTAGTATCTAGACCAGGATAGCTCTCATCCTCTATATTCCCATTGCTATCACAGCACAAGAGGGCGTCCTATGTTTGTTTCTAAACAGACTGTTTCCACGCTCTCTCTTATGAACAAGTAGATTCTTAATTGACTACCTCCTCACTGGATGATGCCATGAGCTAAAGCTTTGACTTAACGAAGCATGTGCTTATATCCATTCCCATTCATCAAAGTACTTCGACCCTAGTTCAGGAACTGATTTAAACACCACCGTAAAATTGATGTGCTTAGTCAATCCTGTACTAAACAGGCAGGCTCCCTAACCTGGGGTCGTTACCAGATGCAGGCCATACTGATTTGCAGAAATTTAGTCAAGGAGGCACAACCATCCTTCAAATCCTGAGCTTATGTCCATTGCCTCACCGCCCACTTTAATTTTCTGATACATCTTCCCACCCACCTGCCTCTGTGTTTCTTGTCTTAAAACTATAGGGTGTCTCAGACCCAGGCTGTCTTTGGAAGGCACCTACCTCATTTTGAGTGCTGATGCAATCAAAGAAAAAAAATACAGTACTGTTTCCTCAAGCACCTGTTCCAGCACTTTAATTTACAGAATGGGAAACTGAGACACTATAGCTCAGAGGTTTCCAAAGATGAAATTCTTTGTGGGCTATTTCATGAAAAATTCTTCATGGGTTATACATTTATTTTAAAACCAACAAATGCAAGGTAGCAGGCACACAGATGCATGAACAGGTACAGGACCTGAATCCAAATTGTGACAGCCCAAAAGATGTGGTTTTACTGCTAGCATGGTGCATACTAAGTGTGTGATGATATATATACATGATCATCTATTGTAGATGTAGAAGGACTCTCTCTCTATATATATACACACATATAAAGAATGATTAAAATACACTGCAATTAAATAAGTCTTTGATGCTAGTTACTGCTTTGTCTGAGGACAGGAATGAGTTCTCTTTTTTTGTAGCACATGCTGAACACAGCTGCTTCATAGTGTGGGATATGACCCTGGGTCAGAAAACAACTCTTTCTTTTTGCCTGTTAACTAGGAGGACTTCGTTCCACCAGTAAAGAGAGTTCCAAACTGAGCAGTCAGAACATCATCGGGAACTGCATCATCCTCCATGAATTCATCTTCCAGTTTCTTCCACCAGGGCCAGCGAGTACATTTCAGTATGGCATTATGGGACTGCTTGGCTTTGGATGCTATAGGGATTGACCGACTCATAAAAACCTCAAGATCTTTTTCTGCGGCCTCCACCAATCTTGGAGCATCTGTAACAAAGAGGAAAACAGGGTGGAATTCTGTTCTTAGAAAAGGGGAAATGGCTATAAGTCACCACTTTCAAGCCTATCCTCCTTGCACACGGTTTTCACTCTCCTGGAGGACCATCCCACCTGCACCATCCCACCACAAGCTCAGTCTCTGTGGCTGCTGATATCCATGCTTAGTTAGCATCATGCTGTAGTTATGCAGCAAACGGCAGATTAAGAAATGATGTTCAATAAGTTTCTAATGTTTGCCTGGTTTGGCTGCTTATAAGTGGTCCACCTGAGCCTGGCAGCCTACTGAACTAGTGTGGTTAAGTACTGTTTCCAACAATATGCAAAGAAACGAAAATTCCCAGTAATTCTCATTCAATGACCCTACTTGTCCTTCCTAATCCAGAGTGGTCAGCACAGCCCTAACTCAGAGTTCAACCTTTAGAACTCCTCACCAGCAAGGGGCGCATGTGCATCAATCATTAGCCTAATTCTGCTGCAGAAAAGTGGAAAAACCAAGTCAGCCCTAGTTCTGCAGGGAAAATAGCTGTATAAAAAGCCTCATTCCTGGCAACCAAAAAGCAACGTGGATGATTGTAAAATGGCTGGCTCACATTACAAACAGAGCAAGGACAGCATTAAGAACTAAAGTGTAGGACCCTTCTTGTGTTTGAATTCACTTGACCTACAGCTTTGCACATGGGCAAAGCTTCAAACCTAGGAGATGCTACATATGATTTTTGAGCTATCTTGTGTGGCAAGGAAAAATCAAATATAACAGCATTTACTACTGCAGAGGAAGGAGGCTGTGGTTTCGAAAGTCTGCTTTCACTGGTTTTCACAGCATACTCCCATTTTTCTCTGTTTGCTGAGTTCATGCCATTGCCAAAACAGCGACCTGAGACAGACACATACTCATCAGCAGCTCTGCATCAGTGTTGACCTGTGCTAGCAAGGCCTGTCTGCGCTGATCAGCTCCACGATCCAGGCTGTTCCTCAGCAGGTACTGTGCCAGCTTTTCCTGAGCTTGCAGATGTAGCTCCTTACTCATTTCTTCTGACATTTGGGAAGCCTGGAGGAAAACAGTGTCATTTGTCAGTGTTAGGAACCAGTTATCATTTGCAATCTTTTGTGGGCAGATTAATGTCCAGAAACGACATCTGCATTCTTTGCCTATTTGTAAACTTAATAATTCTGCTTCCTCCTGAGTTCTCACTCCAAAGCCATCCATCATCAAGTGGAGACAGTTTTCCAATTAGGTTTCACTTTGACCTGTTTTATTAGATTGATGGTAAAAAATGATTCTGGTATCCGGCTTTCAAAAAGAAATAAACAGGATTAATGTGTGCAAAGCTCATACGGGTTATCTCCATCATCAGGGTCACATATTTCATCTCTCTAATGTGTTATGTTGGGTGAAGAATGTAGAACTAAAACGTCTCTCAAAGATGTACCGGATGCAGTCTGATGTAGTCATCCACCTTCTGCTGAAACGTTAGTCTTTGCTCATCGGTGAGTCCCTTGGGCTCTTTCCAAGGAAAGACTGCTTTCCTTTTCCTCCGTTGTTTTTCCAAAAATTTAAGAACCTGTATAAAAGAAGGCAGAAGACCATGGCATTCACAGCCAAAGGATTTATTTTCATGCACTGTTTCAAATCCTTTTAAGGGCAAAAATGTCCCAGTGTGTTATCCATTAAGGTGAAGCTTAGGATTTCACACTGAAGAGGCAGGTCTTGAGTGATCACACTCAGACATAAGCTGCAACATTTACACTACATTCTTGGCTTATGTGAACAGCTTGGAGACTGTAGCCTTTGGTTTTAAAGCATATTCTAGTTATGTATCTGCACTATATTTTGTACTTTACAGTAGTTCCAAATAGTTCAGAAACCTGAGGCTTCGGCTTGTTTTTCTGATCACTTTTTGAATATATTAACATTTGGTTGCTAAATTCTTGCTCCGTTGTCATGTATAGAAGTAAACAAGCGGTGCCTTATAAGAGATTGCAATAATCCACTCAATCTTGTCTAATGCCAGAACAGAGTATATATACTTACTGTTCTCTGAACAATGACAGCTGCCTTATATTGTTTAAGGGATTGTCTTTGTTGATGAAAGTTTCTCCTTGCTCTATATCCCCTCCAGAGTTTCTGTATAGTTAGTGCTGACTTTCCTTCTAGTTCCTGCTTGTGCCTATTGACTTCCCCTAAGGAAATAACAGAAAGCCACAGTTACACAACTGGGGGTTGTGGTCCCACAAGCAAAATACGATTAGGCTTTTTAGTCCTTGCATTAGAGACCACCCCAAAGAAAAGTTCAAAACATCATTGGTGGGACAGCTGGTGACACTTCATTTGAATCAAAGCCCCACACTCTATGTTGGGTTACTGCAGGAACAAACCCCCGGGGAAGATATACAACTGCCTCATGATCTTTAAAGAGCACAAAGAGGCAGGATCTACCTTTACCCTTATGCCTCTGAGATAAGGAAATTTCAGGCCACCTTGGTTTTGATGTGATTACTGAGCCTTAAAAGAGTGAAGATGTTCCCCACCAGAAACCTGGAGACAGCAAATACATAGGCTTGGGAATTACTTGTATGAAAACCTGCTATTTTGGACACCTGGACATTGGAAGCTTTTGATACAATTAAACATCAATCCTACTAGGATGGACTATCTCCAGTAAAGTCAACTGCCGTTCATGAAAGAGTCTCATGGCCCTCTGTCTCTGAAGCTGCAGTTGCTGTTTCAGGGCCTCCTCTTCTTTTTGCCTCTTTAAAAGCTGCAATCCCTGTTGTCGTTTAGCTCTGCAATAGATGGACATATTCAGAATTAGCCTAAGCCTTTAAATTCTCAAAAGCACATTTGGAACTAATCTCCAGTCTCTGTTTCCTTCTGTGTTGAATGGTCTGTCACAAAACCCTCAGAGTGAGCTGCCATCCAAACCCCTGGCACTGATCTAAAGCTCCTCTAAGGTCAATGCAGAAGTACTTAAGATAATCAAATGCTTGATAATTTAACCACAGGGTCTTGGAGTGTTCAGCAGATCTAAGTCCTCCATACAGATTGCTGTCAAACCACAGGAATGCAGTTTGGTCTGAGATAAGTTTCTAACAATGAGGGCACTGATAGCAGCCCAAGTCTCAGCTGACACAAACTGCAGTAGCCACATTGATTAACATCAGTGATTTGCATCAGAATCTGGTTCTGACCAGCCACAAAATTATCTATGCATTTTCAGTGCACCAGCCACCATTTGCTATGTATGGCCTCTGCTTTACCTTGTTCAAAACCACGAGTAGTGTTTTTTTCTGCCTACAAAAGAACCACACACGCTCCTTTATGGAAGGCTGATTTCTTAAGTTAGGTAGTATAAGAGTTATGTTGTAGTGGTGATGGTGCAGACTCCAGAACTTATGCGAGAGTCAAGGATTTCTTAGGGTGATATCTTTTATTAGACCAACTGTATAGTTGGGATGGAGTTAGACGAGCTTTCAAATACAAAGCATCAGGTCTCTGATCCAGGAAGTCAGCAGAGATCTGATGGAACTCTTTGCATTCGAAAGCTAGTCTAACTTTATCCCAATGAAATAGTTTGTCCAGTAAAAGATACTACCCTGAGAAATCCCTGCTTCTTTCTTAAATTAGATCCTTCTCAGTGACGACCCTCCAGGAGACATGTCGATAGGCCTTTCTTGTCCATCAGTATCACTAATGGAAGGGTACAGCTGAGTGGCTTCCACTGGTCTTTAGCAGCATGGCCCAGTGGTTCTGTAATGCTTATTACAATAGTGCTTTAGAGCCAACCAAGAGCGCTGGGCACTGGATAAATGCAGGGTTTGCAGGGGATTCCTCAGATGAGGATGCCGCACTGAGAACACCTAAACCGCATCCTAACTGTTTGACTTTAGGGACTGTCAGTCATAATTTCCCCTCAATGACTTCCTGTGGTGGAGGAGGAGGGGAACGGACAGCATTCTTCAAAACAGAAGCCTTGACTTCAAGGAACTAGACCGTATCTATCTGTAATTGCTGGAGATTGCCTCTTCTCCCCATCCTCCTGACTGAAAGGATTGCACTCCTAAATCTAACCACAACCTTTGCAATAACAGCACTGTATACAGCAGAACAGTCTGGAGGAAGTGGCTGTCTAACTGTCCAAAAGGGTGTAGGTTGTAGCTGTGTTGGTCTAAGGATATAGGCAGACAAGGTTCTTTGGGTGAATCTGATCTCTTTTATTAGATCAACTTAAATAGCTGGAAAAAACTTTTTAGCCAGCTTTCGAGTTTCAACCCAAAAGCTGGCTAAAAATTTTTCTCCAACTATTTAAGCTGGCCTATGAAAAGAGATCAGATTCACCCAAAGAACCTTGTCTAACTGTCCAAAGACATTTCCAAGCCCATGTACCTCAGCAATTTAAGATAATAACGCTTACAAGGATTTATCAATGCAGGAAAACACATGGTTTTATACATCTATAAGCAGTGTAGAACTTCAGGATCAGAAGAGACTTGTGGTGTTTTCATGACAAAACCTTATGCATGCTTTTCCCCCCCTGCAAATACTCATTGACTTCACTTCTCTAAGTAAGAAGCAACATGAGTGAAGGGTCTGCTCTCTGGTGGGTTCCTCAAAGATATACATCTGCTAAACTGCCACGACTGTATGTCAGGCCTTTAAAAGGTTTCTATGATACCAACTCCCTGCAGGCGCTTCAGAGGGAAAAAGCCACATTTAAGCTACACAGGAGCACCTCTGATGGAACAACACCCACAACCTGAAACAAACTGAAACTCCAAACTTCCTTTTGTAGTTGACGACTGAAATCAGCCACTTTCTGAGCAGCACCTGTTTGTACTTTAAAACGCATCCAACTTGGCATGTGCGTGGTTAACACGGATTGGCTGGCCTGGGACAAAAAGAAGATGAGCTGATCCCATGACAGGAGCCTGACAAGCCTCCAGAATAAATCAATGTTTTTTAAAGTGTGCATTGTAACAGAGAAATATTTGTACAACCCTCCAACTTTCAGAAGGGAAGAGCTGGTGGGTTTTTAAGATACCCAGCTGGCATTGTAGGTGAGCCACATCCAAGTTATGAGTTTCAGTCTCGGCTATATTTAAACACAACTAATAAGTTAATGGCTTTAAAAAAATCCCCCTTTCCCCGCACGACTCCATAAATGCAATGAAACCTGAAGTCACAACATCAGCTGCTGACTAAGAGCAGTACGGTTATAGACATTCTAGGAAGCTTTCAAACTGTCACTCACAGGTTCCCAAGAAAAAGTCTTTCTTTTTAGTGTAATCCTCTAGTTGTAGGTTTGAGCAAGACAAATTGTAAGCCTCCAGGGAAGAGGTTACATTTTTATATCATACTAGCAAAGTTCCCGTCAAGATTGATGGGTGGGCAGCGGGGACAGAGCACCACCACCCACTGCCCTGCACTGCCAGTACTCCATGTCC